TGTTTTTGCCCTATTACTTGTAAAGCGACCTTGGGTTCCTTGAAAGGCGCTATATAAATCCAAGCTATTATTATTATTATTATTATTAATCACTAAAAATGTCCGTGCATAACAATACCCCAATCCATAGATCCGTGGGTGAATAATGTCAATCATAACACAAGCCCCCCCAGTATTCACCCATAGTCAAAATCCTCGTGCCTGGGAGGAAGTACCACCCGACCCCGGCGTGTACGGACCACAGGGGCCGAGGAGGGCGGGGCCGCAGGCGAGGGCAGGGGCAGGGGCGCCAACGAGGGCGAGGGCATCCCCACAGGGGGCGGGCCATGGGAGGGCGGCCCCGACGTGGGGGCAGAGCCAACTCCAACGGCCTGGACACAGTCTCAGGCCTGCCACCAACGTCCACCACCAGGCTCTTGTCCCTGTGACGTATTACCCTGAACGGACCGTCGTAAGGGGGCCGCAGGGGACCGCGGTGGGCTTTGTGGCGAATAAAAATGAAATCCGCCGACAGTAATCCGGGGGACACGCGGAAAGCTGGGTTGCTGTGCTGCGACGTGGGGACGGGCGCGAATGTCCTGGCGGTCTCCAGCAGGGAGGAGCGCTGCCCGGCCGCAGACCAGGGCACAGAGGCGGTGGGAATGAATTCCCCGGGGACCCGTAGCGTCTGGCCATAGACGAGCTCCGCCGACGAGGACTGCATGTATTCTTTGGGGGCACACCTGAGGCCGAGCATAACCCACGGGAGCTTATCCACCTAGTTGCCATCTGTCAAGCCGGCACGCAGTGACGCCTTCATGGACCGGTGAAACCGCTCACACAATCCGTTAGCCTGGGGGTGATATGCGGTGGTGCGGTGCAGCTTGACCCCCAAACCCACAGCAACAGCGTTCCACAGCTCGCGTGGCCAAACCTCCTCTCAGGAACCGCAAAAAGTTCAAAAGGGGCCCTAGTATGGCGGTGGACTTTGGGCCGTTGACAGGCCACGCACGAGTCGACCCAGGACCTCACGTCCTTCTTAAGCCCCTGCCACACGAACTTCTGCGACAACAACTTCACGGACGGCTTCCTACCGGGGTGGGAAAAATTGTGAACCGCCTCAAAAACGGGTCGGCGCCAGGCCGCAGGGACCAGCGGTCGAGGCTGGCCCGTGGAGACGTCACACCACAGCTTTGCGCCAGAGTCACCGTCCGTAATCTCCTCCAGGCGTAATCCCGTGACCGAGGCCTTGAGGGTCTGGACTCCGTGGTCAGAGGCCTGGTCAGCGCCCATGCGGAGGTAATCGAGGCCCAGCTGCACAGCTCCGATGACCGCTCTGGAGAGGCAGTCCGCGACCACGTTAGCCTTGCCAGCGATGTGTCGTATGTCCGTGGTGTACTCGGAGATGTACGAAAGCTGGCGTTGCTTTCGGGCGGACCACGGCTCGGCCACCTTGGACATGCAGAAGGTCAGTGGCTTGTGATTCACGAACGCTGCAAACTCCCGGCCTTCCAGCAGGAAACGGAAGTGGCGAACCGCCAAATAGAGACCAAGGAGTTCTCTGTCGAAAGCGCTGTACTTGCGCTCCCTGGGAGTCAACTGGCGGCTGAAAAGGCGAGCGGTTGCCAGGCGCCGTCGACCCATTGTTCATGCACCGCGCCCACTGCGTAGTCTGACGCTTCGGTGGTGATAGCGATGGGGGCCCTTTGTGAAGGGTGAGCCAACATAGCGGCTTTCACCCGGAGATGTGCCTGGTACTCTTCGGAGGAGGAGCTGGCGACCAGGATGTCGTCTAAATAGACGAAGATGAATGGCATGTCTCTGAGCGCTGAATCCATCAGCCGCTGAAAGGACTGAGCTGCGTTCTTAAGTCCAAACGGCATACGCAGGAACTCGAAAAGCCCAAACGGCGTAATTACAGCAGTTTTGGGGACGTCCGAGGGGTGCACCGGCACCTGGTGGTAGCCCCGCACCAGATCCACCTTGGAGAAAGCCAGCTTGCCCGACAGGTGTGCAGAGAAGTAGCAGGAAAGCCTTGAACGCTGCATATTTATCCTGGGCAGGAGGAGATGTAATAAAGCCCACCGTCCGGGTCGCAGTGGAGCTCCCCAGCGCCGAAATGACGTGAAAATAGCGTGCTGCGTCGTCAGTCACTCCGCGGAGGGCGAACTGAGCCTCCGCCTGAGCGAACCATGCAGCCGCAGATGTCTCCCAAAACTCCGGCAGTTTGAAAAAAAACGGCATTACTTGCCATGCTCGGTTCAGTCTCGGATCCTTCAACGAGACTTATGTCGGGGTCACCAATGTAGTGCCGAGAGACGGGAGTCGGAGGCGGGGTATCGAAGGTACAAGCTAGACTTTTATTTAGCATCTGAAAACACATGTAAACAACTTCATGCCCGGGAAGCGAAGACCGGCGGAAACAGGAAGTCCGGTTCACTAAAATATCCGTGCAGAACAATACCCCAACCCATAGATCCTTGGGTGAATAATGTCGATCACCACATAGTGATGCATAAACCATAGCACAGGAGGTTAGCCGTAATAGTATGAAACCCTAAAGAAAGCGGTCATTTTAACCTATTGACTACTGCAGCTTACTATGGAGAAAATGTAGACGAGATTACCTTTTAAGTGAGATTACCATGAAGTCTATGAGGATTTAGTAAGAATAAACATTATGTTTGCCTTTCTTGAGCCAATACACAATATCATGCTCAACTAAAGATCTAAAAAGCATTGTAATTGACTGTGCCAAACAAAAAGAAAAACTACAACCCGAGGTAGCCCCGAGGTATATCAAAGTAGTATGCTGCTCACACACTTGCAGGGTAACAACATGAAACCCAGCAGCATTAACAGTTTCATAACTCATAAATCAACCAAGCAGAGAAACAGCAGCAAAGACTTCACTGAGCATGTTAACAAAGGCAGGGCTTAATTTGGTAACGTGAAGCAGCAGTCTTAGCAGTACAACATCTTTGGGAGTAGTTTCCATGGTCCCAAAGCTGACGGAAAACTGGTTCCGGTGTTAAATGGCGTTTTAGGCCTACAGCTAAGGAAGGACATTGCAGTGGAGATGTTCATTTCAGGCAGCAACAGCACAAAGGATGGAATTATTGTCTAATGATTGCTGGACCAAAGTCAAACAGGACGTCAGTGTAAACATGTTAGCAGATCTAGTTGAAACGCAATATTAGCAACAAGTTGATTTAGAAGTGTTGTTAGCAATCGAGCAATGTTAGCAGCAGGCTAACATCAAGCCAGTGGGCACTGGGCAGGGCACTGGCATTTTAAATAGCCCGCCCAGACACAAAGGGTGCGTTCCATTTGTATTCCAGCCGTAACAACATGTCACATATATATATATATAGTGTCTATTTGTTGTTTCTTTGCAAAAGGCAGACAGTAGTCTTTAGTTGCATGTGCAAAATCTGCAATTAAAAAGGCTAAATAACCATCAGATATTTATACAAGACTGATATATTAAAAAAACCATAAAAGTACATTTCATTCACCTCATTCTTAGAAGGATCACATAATGGAAAGACATAAACCTCAGGGAAACATTTGGCAAAGATCCCAAGCCACAACTAGTTCATTAATTCATCGTGCTGGTAAACTTAGTGCACTGGCAGCGCAGCAGGGCATTTACACACAAAAACTCTTTAAGTGAGACTTTTTTTGTGTGAGTCAACTGTCAGGGCTGCATCTTTCCACTGGAATGTATAAGTGTTGGTACATAATTGACCAACTGCATGGCTTTCCCACACAAGTAGTATTCTCAGAATCATAATTTAGTTTTTTTATTTTCCTACTAACCCTACTGGCAGTGACCGTAAATGTAAAGGTTGTAAATGTTTCAAACATCTCTTATATTCTTTTTTAAATTAAGGGCATACAATAAACAGCCGTGTCTCTAATTTTACCATAATGGTCATGTTTGCCCTCTAATTTCTGTATTTGTGTCTCTTACCATGACTTTGAGGTCAGTCGGAGGTCAGTGAACAATTCACGTTTCAACTTGCAGAATGAATCTGGGTCTGGCACAGGGAGCAAACACTTGAGTACCCATCAACAGTCCTAACAGCGATTTTTCATTACAGCTGCTCAGTACTTGAGCGCGAGTGTATGGAGTATGATTATGTTACCAGTGGTTCACTGAACATGCCACATAAACGCATATGCTGATGGTGGTGGAGTGGTATAATCATAATGATGGCACTTGGCTTTATATAATCCAGGAGCGGCAGCAGGGTGGCAGACCGAGGCAGCAGTTTGCCCTTGAACAAGATAGGAACTTCCTATCAATACAGAACTGATCTTAAAATATGTAGGGAAATTGCAAACACCATTAAAAGGGAAATTATTTTAATATTTCCCCCACATTACTCAGAAAGCCGTTCAATTACGAGTTGACCTGTTTGGCATTCTTGTAGTCATTTTGGATCACACATAACGTTTTTTTACACTTTTTGTTTAAATGGAGTTAAAGTAAATTATTCAGTGTGTACAAAATCATTAAACAAATTCAATTTAGCATTTCAAGAAGAATACAATAAAAAGATCTCCACAACATAACAAAAAAGTCACAGACGGAGATTACACTGAAAGAGGAATTTATTGTGAGTTTTGCTTCCAAACTCATCCAAGGGGAGTTCAAATTTTCAAACATTCTCCTGTCTTCAGCATGTACTCTTATACATTTCGGCTGCACATTACAATATTTCACATTTCAAATGTCAAAAATGTAAACAGACACTACAGGATGCAAAACAGAATTGTTGTAGTTTATAGTAGATCATATTAAAAATATAATCTAAATTTGCAACATACTGTAGTAACAACATTTTCTTTAAACTTCATTACACAATTACCAGCTGGACCTTTTCTACTCTTTCACAAATGTGTTTGCCATTGTTACCTGGCTGCTGTATCTAATTATGCTAACCATTGAACAATCAACAAATAAGTTAAATCACAGTTTGTGAATGCTCTATCAAATTGAACCCATCCAATGTTGACCAGAGTTGCCACTAAACAGATACCAGTATTGTTGCTGCAGTAAGTAGTAAGTATTGGGATGTACTACAAGGCACTTTTTTACAAGTTCTAAAAAATTAAATAAAGTGTGGAGACGTACATTTTCGTACTCTATATTGTATTGTATCTATATAATGTAATAAACATCAACTTGACAAAGTAAAGTAAACAAGTCTGCCTTAAAGGGTTTAAAATGTAATAAACCTGTTAATGTAATAGAAATTTAGGAGGGTGCGGCATTATTTTAGAATCATTCAAAAATAAGTGGTGTAACAGTTAATGTATGTTTTTACCTTTTTTCATAACTTCAATCATTACATTTCACATAGAGTATAGGATAATATTACATTACAGGCTTTAAGATTTCAAACTGGGCACAGTCAGTTTTTACATTATAATTTAAAACAAGGGGATGCTGGCATCTTTAGTCCGATAGAATTATTATCACATGGTACATTCATTTTCTTTGCCTGTCTGTTCATTTGGCCACCCATCTCTCCTTTAAGGGCTTATCGTATATTTAAACAGTAATCTAATTTGTTACAGGTATAATTACATTTCCTGTGCCGGTATATTCTCTGTACGAGTACTGCAATGTGTGCCTCTCATTATTGTTTGGGGAATAGAGAAGTTGACTAACAGACGAACGATTAACATTCTGTATCTGTACTGCAATCAACAGAATTGATTAATGCCATGAGAGGCCTAACTGTGACCAGCAATAATATCATTTAAAATGTGATGTTGAGGGCGCGTCTGTTGCCCCAGTGATATAGTGCTGAGGTGTCATGGCATGGTAACAACTGTTAAACTGCAGAGGCATTGTATACACTGCAGGCCCTTCATGGCTGTGAATCACAGCTCTGTTTTTAGGAGGTCTTACAGAAGTTTAAATCTGCCACATTGGATGTCTGCGGGGCTCCGAATCTCACCCAAAAGCACTCATTCTAAATACACGGAGGTATCTTTTGTGATACACAGACATGATTCAGCCGGGAATTAGTATCATATTGGGCAAATTGTCTACATTTGACATTTTAATGTACA